GTTCGGCTCGCGGCTCCCGCGACGCCGCCCGCGACGAAGGTCGCGACGGTGCTGTAACAGTCGCGGCGGAAGTGCAGGTCGGCCCTCGCCGGGTGCTCCTCGCAGGCGGAGAGGCCGGGGTTGGTGTTGCCGGTTATGGATGGGTCCATGGCGGTGGGGTTGGGCGCCCTGAGGTCGCCTGAGGGGGGGCCCCCTTCCGCGGTCATACGGCCCTCCGTGGACAGGACACTCAAGGGGTTGTGGGGGTTCGCAGGGGCACCAGGATGCGCCTCGGCGGCGAGTCGAGGGTGCTGAGGGGGGTGGATAGGGAGGTCGTTTTTGAGTCTGACACTGGCCTTCCCCTCACCCCCGTCATCGAATGGGCGCTGGATGACAGAATCCATTACAGGGAAAAGTCAAGATTCCAGAACACAAGGGAATAAAATACTCCTAAGGGTAATATCATGCAAATGAAAGATGCAGAAGTGAACGGCGTGTTTCGCTCGTCCAGTTGATTCAATATAAATAGACTTGATTACCCTGCCCAATTGGGGTTTTGTTATAAAAGGTAAACCTTTTAGTGTGTTTTTTCGGTAGGAATCATGAAAAAAAAAAAGAATAAAACTTTATAATTACAGTGTGCAAAATCATAGTGGTCTATCAAACAGATCTGGCTTAGTTCTGCTTCTTCGGAGTCTAAATCGACACGTGAAGTGGGAGAATCAAAAAGAGAAAAAATAATAGGCTTCATTAACATGTATAAATGGTATAAAAATTATACGTGATGATTCTATGTTTCTTTTTTACAATACAACTGTGAAGAAGCTGCTATATATGAAATCACATAATCACATTTTTCTTTTCCAAATGAAAAGAAATAATAATGATAAATTCATTAACCAGCTTTCATACATTAGAGGGGTTTAGACCGTTTCAGTCGCATGTTTGTGTGCGCAATGATGTCTATAATTTTAAGACTTACCCAAGCTTCTAGCTCTGTATCCAAATTAGTAAGTATAGGGAGTATAATAGGTTTGTTTGTACAATTGGAAAGAAAGTCTAGATGCCTTCATTGGTAAAATTAGAATATAGTTCACAGCAGTATCGCAAAAATGAAACTAATCATACAAAAAAAAATGTAATGTCTTATTTTTCTTTATTTAGTATATGCCAAGAAGCCGGTTACACATTGCAAATAAGTAGGGTAACAGGAAATGTAAAGATATACTTGCTTTAGAGTTTGAGATTGTGATGAAACATGATACTGTTTCTTTTGTTGTGTATTACGGTGATGACTTTATTAGTGTCTACAGTTGAATCATTTCTGGAAAATGTGATTGAACTTTCTACTAACCTACTTTGTTCAGATGTACACAAGACTGAGCCGATCAAATTTCATAAAAGTTGTCATTTGGTATAAACCATCCTACCAGTGGGTACTTTTTTTCGTATAGCATCACGTGCTCATCGAGTGCATGCAACTCCTCTTCGGTGCAGTCTGACCAGTTCTTATTTGTTTGTTTTTCATCTAAAATCGATTTTGCCACACAACGAGATGCCTCTTTGCCTGCCAATATGTGATAAGTCTCCCCAGGACCGTAGAGAGACTTCTCCACCTCGTAAACCTTCCGCCGAAGACTGACTAAAATTCGTTCATTCCTGACGCCGTCGTACATCATGAGTTCCTCCCCTGTAAAGCTTCGTCTCTGTGGAGAGGATGACATACGGACGCCATCTCCCGAATTACTTCTGTGTGAATGGCTTTGATTGTGTAAATTTCTACATTTAAAAATGGATGTTTTACATTTATTAAAAAAGTCTATAATGCTATTTTTGAAACCTTGTGTTTTGAGAATACACACCACAACGATGCCCACTGCGGCAACTCCAGCACCATTAATAATGAATCTCTTATCAAATTGAATGTGTGCCATGCTTGATATATTCCTTAAAGTACGTTATATCTAATTATCTCGCTATTTTTATATATAGACAGATAGATGTTGACGTATATAGATATATGTATGTAAAATCACTGGAATAAATGAAACATAATGAGGCCGCTACTTGCTGAATTTAATTAACAATTAAAAATCAAAATAAAAGATTAAACAGCAATGCCTCATTTTTTTTTTGAAATAATACAGGTTAGCATCTTTTTGAAAACACGCAGAAAATGATAAAAGATATGGAAAATTCAACCTAAAATGGAAGTTTTTAGTTGAAGTTTTTTTGTTTTCTGATATTGTAGTTCAGAATTATAACACAAGAAGATTTTTTACATAATGTTATCTCTTTTAAAGTTGAATACATTTCAAACTTTTAAATTCCACCACGAATGATGGCGATTATCACAGCTTAATTGATGTAGGGCTTGTCTATATGTATGACGATTTATTTACGTGCTAAGAAAATGGGAAAAATGCAGATGGAAGTCAATAAACCGAATCGAGACACGGATTATTATAGATGTTATCATCCACTAAAGGTTCGTGTAGCGTATTGTTCAGCAGCTTAATTCTCATGCCTTTTCGGATTCGCACGACAGCGTAAATACCAAAATAGTTGCGTAGCACACTCACATTAAAAAACTTAGCGTAGCAGTCAACACCGTAGTACTCGCAATCGTGGATTTTGTTATTTTTGAGTAAAACATCAAAAGCCGCAATTACAACAGCGGTGCCGTACATGTGATGCAACTGAGAATTTTTCATTGTCATCGCCGCATGTGACTTAAACTCATCCCCGATGGAGGGAAGCTGGGGAAACTCGGAAAACACGCATCGGCCACAAAATAAAACACCAATCCCTAAAAAAATAAAGCGACAATCTTCTATGGAAATTCGAGCACTATCTACCTGCACGCCGACTAAGAGAGCATTGCTTTTACGCAAAGCATTATATTTTATTACAAGCTCTTCGCTCAGGGGTTGCTCAGCCGTCTCAATATCTCTGCTGAGATTGCCGGTAAAGTTCTTAATTTTTTCATTGCTCTTTGACGAGCTAGCCTCTACGTTGTCTAAGTTTTGAAGATCCTTTGTGTTGCCGAGTCTATCTTTGTACTCGACTGACGCCAACTCCTGTTGAGACAAGCCGGAGAAGAGACATTTTTTAAGTGAAACCTGTGAAAATGGAAAAGCGTACAGGCCGCAATTTGAAGGCATTTCAAAGGTGCACTTCGTCAAATGCACAACGCTGTAAGGGTAAACGCTAAGCTGAGGCTCGTCAGTATCCTCCCTGCTGAGTTGACCCATAAAACGGCAATTTTGGAATGTTACGTGAGCACGACTAACACGTATCTTGCCTGTGAAGGTCAGACCAGTAATGGTGATATGTGCCCAACGATCAGGATGAGAGAAAGTTTTCAAATATTCTTCCTTTCTTCGAGAGCGCTCAATCGCTTCCTGCACCTGCCGTTCCCGAAGAGCCTGTTCCTCCGCTTCTTGCCGCTCCAACTCAGCGAGCTGCTCAGGATTTAGTTTTTTCTTGTTTTTTTTCCCCTTATCAACATTACTTTTTATTTTAGAAGACTTCTTGATGGTCTTATTTTCCTTTTCGGCTACTTCGACCACGATGTCGGGATGCACTACGATGCTTGGTTCCACCCCCATGATGTGTAAATCCCCCATGATGAGGTTGTCAAGGGTCCCGAACTGCGCTCCATATTCCACTTCGATTTCCTGTAGCTCCGCCAAAAGCCGCTCTGCAAAAATCTGCTCTGCATCTATCTCTGGAAGAGGAGGTGTGTTAATGATAGCATCGTCGATGGGATTGTTAGAAACGTCTTCGGGCACCTGTGCTGTGTTCTCGAGGATTTCCGGATTCATTCCCGTGTCACTTTCGTTGGCGTTTTTCACCTCTTTGTTTTTCACCTCATCCGAGGGGGGCTGCGATTCGGGCGGTGGAGGTTCTTGCGCGGGATCCACTGGCTTCCAGGATCGAATCAGAGCCGCCTTTTCTTTTACCAGCTTTTTTGTGATGCCTTCCACCCGAAGCTGGTCAGCGAGCTCCAGCTCCACCGTCAACGACCCCTCCAAGTCCTCCTTCCCACTGTTCTCGTTTCCGTCGGTGGGGAGGATCAAGACGTTCGTTTTAGGTATCGGCCCAACCTCACGGTTAGCACCCGTACAGGACTCTACAAGTTCATGGCTAATCCTTGTGAGGTTTTTGATTGAGGTGTAGGAAGACCAGCCACGAATGTAATAGTTGAACTTTCCATCGGAAATCTTGCTGGGATCTGGCAACACCTCTTTCTTCTTGCTAACCCTTTTCTTGCTACTCATTGTATTGTAGGGCGTCCGTATGAGAAAAGAATGAAAACGCTGATAATAGATGTATCAGTTGGAGGAAAATAAAAAAGATAGAGTCAATTTTAAGATGGTTTGTAATCATGAGAGCTGTAAAATTGGAAAATAAAAATTCAGTCGATTACAAGTGAGGCTTATCAACAATATGACAAAGTAAATAGAAATGATAATAGTATTACTACCATCGGTATTGAAAACAGTAACAAAAAGTGAAGATGAAAAACGAGGAATTCACCCACTGGTAGTCATCTTCTGTGACTAGATCAAAGAATGACCCTTGCAAATCCACAACGGAGGGCGTCTTTGCTTTTGATTGGGAAGTAAAGGAAGCTCGATCGCAAAGGGGTAATTGTCAACGCCAGCAAGGGCAACGTCGGTTATCTTAGTCTCAATACCTACTCGCGGAGCCCTTACAGTAAGCCATGAACACTGACAGCAGTAGGCCGCGGCGTTGGGGGTTGTGCGAAGCACCGAGTCCTGCTCTCGCTCCCCTCGAGCCCCAAACGGGCTCGAGCTCGCCAAGAGCGCCCAATCCGGATAATAATTTCGCGTTGAGAGGTAGAGATCAAATCCCTTGTCGCCATTCACCCATTCCGCCCCCTGGAGTCGAATCACGACGTAATTACACTTCAGGCACAAGATGTGTGGGCACCCGCCCCGTGCTGCGTCCGTCATGCTGTCCAGGCAGCCGTTGCCGAGCTCCGGCTGGCTGATGTAGAAGGCTCCTTTCCGGCGCAGGATGCTCGCCGGGGAGACGTTGCGGCCGTAGGCCCCCTTCTCCAGCCGTCGCAGCCCCTCCACCGTCGGGAGGGGGGC